TTTTTATTATTATTTTCGTTTTTATTTTTCCATACTATTACCATATAACTTAATTCACAAATATTCAAGAGAATACTTTATTTTATTATCAATCAAAAATAGCACATCTAATTTTCAGTTTTTTTGAATAAATGATACGTTGGATTTTTTATTTGTAAAATATTTTAAATAGATTTAGACATAATTCAACGAATATTTTATATAATTCTAAAAATATTTCCTGTAGGAAAATGAAAATAAGAAAATACCACGTGACGATGAAGAAGATGGAACAATAGGAATTTCAGTCTATAAAGAATATTTGAATGCTGGAGCAAGTTTTCTCTTCAAGATGTTCTTATTAATTATGCTAGTTGTAGCACAATCCGTTACAAATGTCAGCGACTATTGGCTTGTCAAATGGTATGCTATTTTTATGGTAAATATGAGTTTATTCATGTAAACAGTTTTTTAAATACAAGTTTAATGAAGAAACATTACATTATTTATGTCAAATTTATTTCAGCATGATAAAAAGTTTCAGGCGTAATCGAACAAGTTTAACGAGTTGAAATGAATATCATTTAATACGTTCATCTCGAATTGTATCTATGTACAGAATAGGTTTCCTGTACCCCTTTTGTCGCAATCTTTCTATTGTCTGTCTCACCTACAAGAACTGACTTCAATAAGAATTCTGGGGGTTTAGGCTGGCATATTGTGAAACCAGTTGTAAATCGAAATGCGAGCGTGAGTGGTCCTATCGAGATAATCTGGGATAAGAAATGAGAAAAGAACATTACAGAAAGTTATCTGAATTACATGATTTAGTTTCTGGCTGAAACTTTATAGGAAAAGACTTCAATGTGTGCTTTTTAAGCGGAATCACAGAATTTCAATATGGCTAAGATTGCCGAATGTTTCCAGTGAAATCCATCTGCAAAAGCTTCAGCCACAACGTAAGAAATAGCAAAAATGTTCACACTTCTACATTCGACGATGAAATTATAAGAATGTAGCTTAAATTTGCATTAATGTCATTTTATGCATTTAAGATTGAGCAATTGACCACCCATATATTTCAATATTACTGATTGAACTGATTGATATTACTTTTATTCAACGGATTTAAGTAGTATTATTGTATTACTGCTTGTCGAACGAATATTAGCTAATTCAGAAAATTAATTATTATTACGTGTTTAATTTTCAGGTTGCACAACAAACGAATCTATACGGAAAATGTTGATAGTGTTGAAAATATGACATTTAAGACAAGAATATTTAACAATAGTGAAGACAAAAATTTATATTATAGTGAAGAATACAATGTATATGTTTACTTTGGACTAATATGTGCAGTGTTCTTTACGATGACAATTTCTGGATTATTATTGTACAATTTTTTCATTGCTGCATCTTTGAAGCTGCACAAGAATATGTTCCATTGTATTATTCGAACTCCAATTTCATTTTTGGATAACAATCCTGCTGGTATGTAAAATTATGTATTTCGTTCTTTAAAAAGTTAAAGAATGATCAATGATATGTTTTTCATAAGATACTTGAAATATTTAATTAAATTTTGCGTTATTTGCGTTGAGTTTTAGAGACAGACCCAGGTGTACTCTTTATTATGATAGTATAATAGGAATAATACCTATTGTAATTGTAAACATAGTTATTATATACTCGACAAATTGTGCTAATCATGTTTGACACGTGATAATACATCACTCACTGATTTTCCTATAAATTCTTCATTCTGAAAACAAACAAACGATGCAAAGTCAATGAATTGCATATTTTGAAAATTTCGCTTTTGAAAAAAATTGCTGAGCACTCAACTAATAGAGTGATAAATAATAAATTAGACATAAGATGTAAGAAGCTTAATATATTGTTTTATGATCACCAAGAATATAGTTTGGTTGTAAACGATATACTCATTACTCATTTCTTGTCTGATATACTGTAGTATGCAAAAACAGAGAGTAATAAAAAGATTTGAGTTAAAAAGCAACAAAAATTCAAAATAAGAAAGTAAACAATTTTAACAATTTTAGTAACGAAGTGTTATATACAAGTGATATTGGGAATTGAAGCAGAGAAAATTGAAGAAAGGAACTTTTCAAATCATTCCTACTAAAATCTTGTGAAATAGTATTTAGAACATATGTCAAACTTTCTACTGCATTTCGTTTTCGTGAGCATATTTACATAATAACAGCTGTAATATATTAAATTGCTCTATTCATACCCTTTGAAAAGATAAATATGTACAGTACATCTTAGAAAAACTTTAGGTATGAAAAACCAAGAGCATGTCAATCTGAGAACTGTTTACGTTGGTGGTATATGCGGTGTCTTATAAATAATAATGATAATGGAATACGTATATTTTACATAAGTTTTTAATTCAAATAATATTTATTATTCTGATATCTTCTAGGAAAAATTCTAAATCGGTTTTCCAAAGATATGAATAACGTAGATGACCTTCTACCTAACAATGTTCACGTTGTGTTGAAAGTAAGTTTATATAATTTTGTATATTTAAATTTATGTAAAATAAATTTAAAAAATAAACAGGTATGTGGGGTATGCGGTTACTAACGTGTATTTATGAATTACACAAAAAAATTATTTTTAACAGCAACGTAAATTGCGATAAATAACGCATGCAATATATGCTACTTTTTATCCTAATGACTTCCAATTAACCTATTTAGTCCAACTATAAATAATCTTTTCAAGTAGTGTACTCCATATTTCTCAATATTGCTTTACTTCTTAAACTTTGCCATCGGTATCCACTTTTTTACCCGAACAAACGCAAATTGCAAATAATCATGAATAGATTGGAATGTTGATGACAAAAATCTGTTCGTTTCCTCAGCTTGACATTAGTCTAGTTTTTTTGGAATCAAATTGTTTTAAGGTGATTGAGATTAATTCCAGCGAGATCAATAAATCTGAAATATTTTCAGCATAGACTGAATAAGAAAGGTCCTCTTATTGTCAATAGGGTGGAAAAAGTCAAATATACTTTGTTATTACTTCTATAAAAGTCAAACTATTTCTTATAACCATAAAATAATCTATATGCAGTAAATCCCATTTTAAGTCAGATTTTGCACAACTCAGTAAAATCGTTTTGAAAAAAAAAAATTTTAAATATTTTGGCATTAAAAAGTCATAAGTAATGCATTTTCGATATATGAAAAACCGCAATACTGTTCATTATATTATTGTAGTAGATAGGATGATAAAAAATGTATAATACTGTATACGAAATTTTCAAAATTTATTAGTTCATTTCATGTGTTTAAGCAGTATACGGATCAGTAAACTTCTGTGTAGAGTGGATTGTATTAGATATTTAAAAATTACTATTGTAAAAAATATTGCTAACTGGAACATTATATAACTCAGACTTCATCCTCTTTTAGTTAAGTTTGCAAGGATTTACTGTAAAAAGATATTTTTATTTAAACTTGATATCGATATATTTCAATGTGTGCTTTTCATTATTCGAAACAGAGTTTATATCGTAATTGTACTGTACCACAAGTAGCTTTGTAGAATATTATATAATTTTAGGGACATATTACAGCAGGAAATTCAAGATTGAAAGGATTTTCTCCCTGAATTTGGAGGAACTATACAAAATTCGCAGAATAAAAGAGCAAGCACTGCAAACTATACCATTGAAATATTATCCTTACTGCCTAACATGAGAGTACCTGTAAATACAGGGTGCATAGGAAAATCCCTTTAACCGAGAAATTCTTGCAAACGGAGAGAGCTACAGCTATGCAAATGAGGTAACGCGTAAAGCGACTACGCCCGACCAAATGCAAACGACAGCAGCGCCCCTAGTCGCAAAATTTGGAAGATAGGCAGTGCAGACGGGGTTTCCCCTTGCTATGGATGTCTGCTTAGTGCAGTTCAGCCACAATCCGCTGCAGTTCGCCTTTATTATCAGTTCGAAATGGAATGGTTCCATAATACCCGCAGTGTTCCATAATACCACCTTTTCCTCTATCTATTATAGCTTTAAAAATCAGCATACTTAAAAAATTAAATTGTTCGTTATACGTCTTTGTAGAGAGACTGACGCCGGTTCGTTCGTGAGAGATTAATTAAACAAAGTCAAATGCCGTTCTTTATCACAATAGATTTCATCGCTATCCAGTTAAGCACCGATTTTGTTGGATTAGATATAAATTTCATCTGTATTTATCCTATGATTCATGTTTCGAAATTTTTGCTAATATACAGTACTTGCAATTTTAGCTTCATTAAGCAGAAAATAAACAAATCTATTATTTTTTGCGAATATATTACGTAATTAATTCTAACGATACGAAACTGTAGCGAACACTTGTTCTGATAAAAGACACAGAAAAGGCAAACAAAACTAGCAATATTTATATCAGGATGTTAATATTTACAAGTCGTAAATATATACGTAAAGCAAAGTATAAAAACAAAAAATAGTAATATAAAGTAACGGAATAGATCAGCGTTTAAAATAACTTTTTTCTTCGGTTGTAAGTAAAGACGTTTATACTTCGTATCTCAGGACAGTTTCAGTTTACGAATATAGAATTTGGTGGTCATGTAAAACATTCAAATTCAAAAAAAGTAAAAAATATTTCAGCTTCCTCTGACAAACTTCAACTTGGCAAATGAGAAAAACTTAATAGCAGACATAATGATTGTTGTCCTAGTTCTAGTGTTAATTAAGTAAATAAATTATTATATAAAAAATTCGTTTTTATTGTATTATAAGAAATTCCTCGTGAGAAACTGCTAGATTACCTGTAATATTTAAATAATGATGGACTTGTCGCGTGTTGAGATGAATTCTCATTCAAATGCTGAAACAAATGGTTACCATACCGTTTGATGTAATGTTGATTTACATATAACGTGAAATAATTGAAATAATTCCTAGAATACTGAAATGACAGATATGTTTCCATTTAATAGTAATTTATATCTTTATGTTTTAGGGATTGTCTCTGATCGCTGGCATGTGTGTTCTTCAAGCGATCCTCTGTCCTTATGTTCTCATATTGACATTTGTGCTTTCAATGTTATTCTATTTTACGTGGACGATTCACAGCCGTGTTCTGAAAAGCATCAAACTTATGGAAGGAAAATGTAAGTGTATAAAATTCTCAATGGTTTATTGTATTTAAGTGAATAGCATAAAACTTTTTCACAACTTTATGTTTTGTGAGTATACTGTACAGTTAGAGTGCATATAATTTTAACAGTAAAAACATTTATTACCAAAAGCAATTACGCAAAAATTCTTTGTTATATAACAGAATGTATCAAATTATTTAACTCTTACTACACTCTCTACAAGACATATTGGTCTTTAGTTTGTACTAGAACAAACAAATATAAGAAGAAATTGAGTAGCATATGACAGAAGAGTTTTATATTCATTACTTTACACTTACAATTGGATTGGATACAATTGGTATTGGATTAAAATTTTCGGTCTAAAAAATCTGTAAGAAAGGTTAACCCGTTATCATTTGCGTACTGTAAAATCGGCTCCAATGACTTTTTAAACTATAAGTGTGAAAATTCTGAAAAATGTAAAAAATTTCTGTTTGCCTAACTTTACGTTTATTTCCATTTACTTACCATACTTTTTCCAGAAATCCCTTCATTTTTGTATTCAATAGACATTGTCAAATCGTCAATATACTGCGAGTGATCTACAACATACAATTTTCAAATTTTCACTACATGCTGATCGGTTTACGATTTAAAATATTATTATTGTTTTAAGAAAAAAATACCCCAATACTTGTAGAAAACACCAGTCCACAACAATAGTTGGTTAATGCTGTTCTTAGTATCATTTTTGAAAACGATTGCATTACTGTAGGAAGAATCAGACAAGCTGTTTCCGAACATTCTGTGAGATTTTTCTTAGTTGTTTACGTGCTTATTTTTATTGGACAATAAACCTGGCGCACGAACTTATAAATGACATCTTTTACCACGAAGATATTCGTCACGTGGAACACGATTTCAGTAAATACAGTGTGCATAATACTTGAAAGACAAATTGCATCTAGTCTAACTAACAAAAGCTCTTCACCAGCTTCAATAAGTGCTTCATCGTAAATGTACTTTTTGTTGACAAAGCCCAAAATGAAAGTTGAAATTATAATAAGCAATTGCTATGCGATATGTGCACACAAAAAGCGACCAGATAATTTATTGCAAATTTCTTCTGCAAAAATTTAAAAGCGTGCTTAAAACTTTGTTTTGTTTTTGGCTTGACAAAATTTAGAAATGTAGCTTTTGTTTTTCAATTGCTTCTTTTTGCATGAAGACTACAATGTTCTGTTTGTGTTATGCTACATGCAATTGTCATCAGTTGCTTCTGAAACATATGATTATATGTATATATATATATANCTTTGTTTTGTTTTTGGCTTGACTAAATTTAGAAATTTAGCTTTTGTTTTTAAAATGCTTCTTTTTGCATGAAGACTACAATGTTCTGTTTGTGTTATGCTACAAGCATAATTGGTTGCTTCTGAAACATATGGTTATATATATATATATAATGTATGCACGCATGTGTATAATATACAAAATTTTATATACGAAATTATGAAATGTACATTAATTTATGTAAGCATTATTTTAAAAGTTAGAAATATAAATTTTAAAATCTTTGCATGTCGGCTTTATATATCTATTAGATGAGAATTGTTTTTTATTTGCTTTCTTAAATACAATACGCAAACAGTTATTATATTTAATAAGGTTTTGCTCAAATAATTAATTTCATATAGAATTTCTTTTAACAGCAAGAAGTCCAGTATTTTCTCATCTGAGTGTATCTCTTTATGGACTGACAACCATTAGAGCATTTAAAGCTGAAGATAAATTTTTATCCACCTTTAATGAGTATCAGGATAAGCACACTGCAACGTGGATTATTTACATTGCATTAAATCGTTGTCTTTCTATATATGGTCACATCATTTGTTACGTAAATTTCCTTATTACTGTTATTATTTTTAGTGTATCAGTTCATTCAGGTGAGTATATACATTTACAGTCGACCCCCCCCCTATAATTCCCTGTTAATAATTCCACCTATGACACTGTTGATCCGTTCACAGCCCGGCACACATATTTGTAAAATCTAAGTGAATCGTACAACATGGAATTCATATAAAACGGAATTATCAACAGTGTTATAAGGGGGTTGACTGTAGTTGTGTATAGTGTATACTATATGTAATTTTGAATTTATAATCGAAACTTTAGATGATGCAGGAAGCCAAATTGGACTTGTTATGAACTATGGAGTACTATTTGTAATGTATTTTCAAGGCCTTATTAGAACTTCATCTGAAGTGAATTTTCAGGTAATGTATGTACAACTAACCCGATAATGTATCCATTGTTAAACTTTCTGTCAAGCCCAGTTATAATATAGAAATCCCGGTTATTTTTTCCTGTCTCCTCTAGGAAGTTACGTGAAGGGGAGTCCTTCCTCAAATCCACCATTTTAGCATTATGCTTGAAAGCAGAAGCCTTCTAAGTGTAACGTAATTATGCACAACTGCATTGACGTAGTTTGCAGTCATTGAATACAGCTGCACATTTTTTCCAGATACATGCAGATACAATTGTAACTATTATTATGATTATATGCGAATATTATTTCAATTCTAGTTGGTTGTATGAATTTTAATTAGATTGTAAAATGTAATGAAAAATGTATATTTTTCATTGTAGCGAAAACAAAGTCACTTAGTTGTTCCTCAACATATTTGTACTAATTACGTTTGTGTTCAGCATTGGAAACCCGTGTGAACTGCTGTGACCAAAACGTTTTTGGCAAAAATCAATCAAATGCCTTTGTTTTCATATACAGTAGTTAAATGAAAGAAACTGTGATTCCGTTTAACTTATTGTCTGCAAAAATACAATGATAGTATGTTTTCTGTTTTTATTTTCAGTGTAAAATTTATTTATTACGCCTAAATCTGTTTTATTACTGTTTTATAATTTTTTAAACATTAATCACTTTTTACTACAAATCCTCAAGTTACTATCCCGAATTATAGGGGAGATCGGGGCAACTTCAGCATGCGGGGCAAGTTTGTCAAGCGCTTTTTTTAAAAAACAAATTAAAAAAAAACTTTGATTATAGGTTAGGCAGTTGAGTTTCATTGGTGGCTTGTTGAGTGTAGTGTTTTTATTGTTCTCCAACAAGCGTAGTTGAATTATCAAGCAAATTTTCATTTTCGTTCAATTCCATATAATATTTTTTTCCATTTATATTGAATTGGCAGGTTTTGTTATAATTCCATGATAACGAAAGTTACTTTTCCTGTTAGAAGGATGTAACTTCAACTTATTCACGTGGCCAGATCGTGGCTTGNTACTACAAATCCTCAAGTTACTATCTCGAATTATATATGTGTTAATGTTATATTTATTTTATAATTAAAAGTAATTTTGTTATAAAAAATAAAATATTTTATCATGTTACGTGCAAGAAAATTAGAAAGAGTATTTATCAGATATTTAGGCTTGGCTTAGTTACCATCGGCGGTTTGCCTAAAAGTGAATTAAATGACAGCCTGATTGATTTATCAATTCATATAAAATTTGCAGAAACAGATAACCAGATTAAAGGAAGGATCTTCTTATTAGAATATATTCCACACTTTCCATATTTCAGATGTAATTTATTGTAAAATGGAGTTAGACATGTAGTAAATACATAATATTCTTGAGAAAAATAATATATTTTCATATCAACAAAATTGAAATTTCAGTAAATAATTATTTTATAATTGGTTTGAAAATTTCATTGAAACTTCAAATTTTAGAAATATGGATTAAAAATACTGAAATATTTCATATTTAAAGTCATAAGTGAAAAATAATTATTAATATCACTTTATATTTTACTAAATTACATTTCGTTTTACATAATAATGTAAGCAAAGTGTTTTCTATTTAACGACAAGTAATCAAAACAATGAAAATCTTTTAACTTTTAAAAAATTATAAATTTTATAATTCAAGAATACATATTTTAAGAAAAGGAAATAAATTTAAAAGTATATCAGTACCGCAGAAATTACAGTGGGTCAAAAAGAATAAAAAATCATATAAAAAGATGAAAGAACTAAATACAAATCATGTACTTGTGTATCTTCATATAAAAATCTGTTATAAGTCTTATGAAATTCTATACATCTTTTATAACTGTTGATAATACATATTGTTACTTGAATAAGTTTTATGCATATTAATTTTCCAGATGAATTCTGTAAAACGTATACTAAACTACAGCAAATTAAAATCAGAAGCATCGTACGAAAGTTTACCTGATAAACGGCCACCTTCGGATTGGCCACAAAAGGGAAAAATTGATTTTGATGATGTGTCTTTACAATATTCCAAGGACAAAAATATTGTTTTGAAGAATTTATCTTTTCGAATTCACTCGGGAGAAAAGGTAAAATATTCTCGAAATGGAATGAGTGTTGCTGAAAATTATTGTCTGAAATTATTTCTAATATTTATTAATTGCAGATAGGAATTGTTGGAAGAACAGGAGCTGGAAAAAGCTCTATAATTGCTTCGTTATTTCGCATGACAGAGCCAACAGGAACAATAACCATTGACGGAATTGACACCAAAGATATTGGTCTTCGGGATCTACGTAGTAAAATATCTATCATTCCTCAAGTATGCGTTCTTCGATTTATTATATAAAAATTTAATTTTTTAAGTAAGATTAAAAAATACAAAACTTAATGAGATATTCCACAGCTGATATTCAAATTGCCAATTTTTTTCATGTTGAAATAGCAACATCTTGACACAACAACGCCTTAGCACGAAAATCACTTTGTCGAAAATAAACATATTCGCTCATTGGAATAAAATTCAAATTGGTCCATAGAATAAGGAAGAGCAAAGAATATAATAAATAGTATTATTGTAAATATATACTCATTTAACATTAATGTTTTGACAAATCAACGTAATCAAATGTGAGGCTTAAAATTCATTGCAATTCATTCAAATTCATTATGTCATATGGCACGTGTGACGCTAATATATGTTTTACATCAAAATTAGGACCCCAATACAATCTATATTCATAGCATTTTTATTATTCAAAATGCTAGGAAGGTATTGTTCTCTTCAGATGTATTCAAAAATTTATGAAAAATCCAGAAGAATTGAGGAAAAGTTGCATGACTTCTATATGATGCCATGCAACTAGCAAAGAGTTAATTTGTGATGGATGATTTTCCTTGTGTCATGACAACTGTAGCAAAGAATGCATGCGTTCGTGTGTCTAAAAATGTACATGAAATGTTTAAAGTATAAAAACAATAATTGCCATGCAAATATTTACTATATCGAAATTTCTTTTTCGATATGTAGTGCTCTAAACATCATGAATTTCGAAGTGATTAAAGACAGTGTTCACAAATCGTAAGTATGGAGCAGCGTGAACAGATAGAACTCCTTTTATCCCATTGCAACAGACTTAACAAACATTTACTTTATTAGAAGTTAAATAGCAAATTAAATTTTAAAAAATATATATAAATTGACTAATTTATTGACAGTGAGTTTGAATCTCTAGAAATTAAAATTGACCTAAAATATGTTAATAAAATAAGTGAAAAGCGTTGAATGCAATATGGATAATACACTAAAGGTACACGCTTGGCAAATCTTTTAAAATACTGTAATTAATAAAAGAAGGAAATTTTTTATATTTACCACTATTGTAATCGTAACACAAACAATTTCATAAAAAATCGTAAAACGAATAAAATAGCAAGTGTATTTTTTAGGATCCAATGTTATTTACCGGTCCACTTCGAAGAAATATCGATCCTTTTAATGAATATTCAGAAGAAATTCTATGGCAAGTTATAGAAGAGGTTAGAAACATACAATTGTTTTCATCTACTCCCTTGTATATCTGTTTAATTTCTTTTAATGGCTAAAGTTAATTATTATCTATTTATTTTAAACAATCTCAACTAAAGGTTCAATTAAAAGAAGTTATCAGTTCGTTGCCTGGGGGACTGGATACACATTTATCAGAAGGAGGACGAAATTTTAGCGTAGGAGAAAGACAGTTAATTTGTCTTGCCAGAACGATTCTTCGCCAGAATAAAATTCTCGTCATGGATGAAGCAACATCCAATATAGATAAAAAGTTAGAATACAACAAATTTTAAGTATTATTTAGTTTTAAGTAAAATTAGTTAATTGTATGGTTTCTGTTGTGTACACAATTGTTATACGTTTTTCGAAAGTATTTGATATTTTCGTTAATCACACTATTTCAGTTTGAAACATTAAAATTGTTTTTGTCAATCAAATATTAGCTTATTTTATACAGTTGAAAAATTACGAGTTTATAAATAAATCGTAAAAAGTTCGTTTAAATTAAGCATCAATATTTTTGTACCATATCATACTGCATTAGTTTCCATTTCGGAAATGATGACTGACAATATAGTAGGCTTGTATGGCTGAAGTTCACATGGGTTCAATTTTCAATATGCATGATAATTATATTGAAGTTAAGGCAATACATAGATGACCAATTGATTGACTGGTTAACACTTTTACGTAACGATACGGATGGCAGGATGGCCGACCGGTCAAGATGGCAGCCTACTGCTATGAGGAAACTGGGATCAAATCAGGACGGATCAAAAAATCTCCAGGAATTTTTCGAGGGTGGTCCGACCGGATATGTCGGCCCTTGTCCCTCACCACCCGGTCGCCCCATTGTGGACCTGCTCGAACCCTTAATGGTATTGCTAAAAGGCGCCTTCTTAGTGCCCACAGGGCAGATAGTGTTATAAAAAAAGAACGGTTCCGAATCGAAACCGAACGAACCTTCAGATATATTCTATACGCAGTATGTTAAACAAAAAAATTCAAACCTCCTTTCTTACTATTTGTTTGTTTTCATTTTGGATCTGGAGTTTAAAGAAAGGTTCTTTTGGTGTCCATGTGGCAAAAAAGAACTTTAAATAATCATTATTTTGATTTACTATTGATTTTATGTGTGACATGAAATATGATTGTAAATAAGCGATTTATTTACATTACATCGGTGTTCTGCTCTTTGAACATAAACTGTTGTAGTTTCTTCTTGTTCGTGGTAGGTTTTTGTGACTTGTCAGCTATCGTCAAGAATGCGTTTCTATATGTTTATTTGTTTCTTTCACTTGTTTCTTTCTGTATGAAATGCGGAAAAGCTCTCAGTTTTTGGTTATTTGTAGATTCGTGACTCGTGCAGTTGAGCTTAAGCTATCAGAACAGGGCTGAAACGAAAAAAGAAAAAATTATTTTAATCGAATGCCTTCATTTTGTTTATGAAAACAGGTACAAAAATTTAATTTATTTGTTATGAACACACCCATATTTAAGATTAACATCATCTGTAATAAGTTTATAGACAACATTTAATCATACAATACTTTACTTGGCATGTACCCTTTTCTTTATATAGTTATGTAATTCTTTAACCTGAAAAATATTATTTTCAAATAAAATTTACATTCTATCTTATAAACGTAAGTTAGAAGGAAATATTATGTTTTTTTTTTTTTTAATCCATCGAAAAAATAAGCTAAGGTTAAATATTATTTAACCTTAGCTTATTTTTAAGTAGGTTAATTTTTTTATTACACTTAAAATCTTAATTGTTTTATTGATATCTTTAACCTCCATATATTTCTTAAGTACAAATTAAATTTTATATAAATCAAATATATCATTTGATGTGCTTAGATATTTTATGTAGATAATACCTTAAATTAATTTAAATTCAAATATTTTGATTTAAAAATGGTTTTAATTCTAGTTATGTCAAATATATAAAAATATCAATTTTGTATTTATTAAAATAATTTTTACTAAGTTCTTGATATTTGAAAAATGTTGTTGTTATTAAATAATCAAACACTCATGTAATTCTAGACATTGTGCAGTTTTATGTAATACCAGTAACAATTGTTGTTGATCTTCTGTAGGCCTGCTATTGAATTGTCTTATTATTATTAATTTCACTATTATGTNGCCAATAAATTATTATTTGAACAATATAACAATATAAATAATTCAGTATATTTGTAATAGGAATTTATTATTTCAGGGGCTTATATCTCGCGAAGGGTCGCGAGTAGGGGTATGGTTCCTTTGACTTTATTGTTCGCACAGGGGGCTACAGTTTGGGGGGATCGCCACCTCTTCATTCGGAGGGTAAATCTTACCATTCGGACTTTTACAGAGCTGTAGAGCATATTGATGGGAACAAAAAAGTCAAAGGAACCGTGCTCCATAAAAATTTGTAAAACACGCACACTAGGGGGCGTCCCTGGCTACTAGTACAGCATAATAGACTTTGTCATGAAGCGAAAACTATTTAGACTTTAGACTTTTGTATAGAAATCACACCATTATCAGGTTTGATTTATAAACGAAGATATATAAACGAAAAATATCCATAAACGAAAAATAAACAGTCATTGAAACTATGTCAGACATAGACTCAGGTCGATTCTCCTGAGTCCACATTTGGTGTACTGTCTTATAAATCTTGTAACGAAAAATCGATCGGGCAGTGCATGTGTCGAAACATATGTCGCGGCCGCTAATGGACCAGACTGACTTTTTTTTATGACAGATTATGAACGAAGATGCAACATTTATCTGTCTCAAAGTTTAATCATGCCACTTAAAGCGATTTTTTATAAATCTGAGCGTGCATATCATGTTGGCAAAAGTTTGTTTCTTCTATTTTACTTAAGCCTGATGGATTTAAACACGTTTGATAGAATGGTCAACATGATAAACAAGGTATTGCTTATCTTGTTGACCATTCTGTCTAACTTGTTTAAATTATTCTTTGAAGTAGTTAATATTATATGTGTTTGTTTCGGAATTCTTTCTAGCCATGGAATTTTGGAAATCTGCTGCTAGCTTGAACATCAATGAATCATATTTGAACATCATACTGAACATCAATGAATCATATTTTTCAGGAAGTAATAATGTGTCCTGAAGGATTCTATAGTATTAAAGTTGAGATTTATCTTCGTATTAGAACAATTAAAAATGTTGAAATATATGTCCGATATAACAAAAAATATAATTGAATTATGTCTTTGGTTATATTAAATACAGTTAATTGTCCTCGATGAAAATAAACTATAGTTTTGGAAAGTTATCACAGAACGGTTGTTCTGTGATAACTTTCCAAAACTATAGTTTATTTTCATCGAGTTTACAGTTATCGATATTTATAGTTTTAAATTAATCGTGTACAATATTTTCACCAATGTTCTGTAATAGTTGTGTACACCCATAACTAGATGACTGGACAAGCAAGAGTAGAACTGAAGTGGAATACATGAACAAACGTTGTAGTTCCAGTTTATAGATCTATCAACTCTACGGGATATGTGAACTGCAACTAAAACATTTCATGTGCTCTTACCTGCAGCCGAATTATTAAAACCAATGAACATTGGTAGATATTTGCAGGCTTTTAATTCACCAATCAGTTGCCCAGTTAATCTGTTAGTTTTGTGCAGTGACTAAAATCAATTTACAAATCAGTTTTCCATGGAAAATATTTCCCTTTAAAAATTTTTTCATGAACTTCTAACGTATTTATTTCTGTAAAGTTAATTTAATATAACCCATTTTACATCCAGTAAAAATTTTATACTTCGAATTCTTTAATATTAGCTATACATAATGAATACATTTAGTAGCAGTTGTATCGAAGTTTGATAGTCACTTGATAAGTATTTTTTGTGTTTTGATGATACAGATATGTAGATTCGTAACGTATTCTTTCTATCTATTTCATATCAAGCACTGATTCCTGCATACAAAAAATAATTCGAGAGAAATTCAAATCGTGTACCGTGTTGACAATAGCCCATAGATTACATACAATTATCGATTCGGACAGAGTACTGGTAAGTTTATTTTGTTTATAACATAATAGAAAAGTTTGTTTTCTTAAACATTTGAAATTTTTAGGTTTTAGATAATGGAAAACTTCAAGAATTCGACATGCCATATAAATTACTAAAGAATGTGAACGGTACTTTTTATAACTTGGTAAAAAAGACTGGAGTTACTTCAATGAATGAGCTATATAAAATTGCTGAAAATAAATATAATGTTCAAGAATGTATGGAAAGAACGTCATTATAAAACAGTGGATTTTCCTCGATATATATTATCCTTGTGTATTTCTCGTGTTGTTTTTATATTGTATTGTATTGTTGTACTCGGAATCATCTCTGTTTCTGCATGTCATTTAGGACATAAAATTGTTAAAATCTTTAGTAAAAAGTGTTAAAACTTAGATACTATTTGTAACGGTAAAAAACTTATAGGCATTAATGTTTAACAAATTTTAAACATTACTGTAATGTAATCACAAATTTTTTCAGATAATCATGTTAAAACAATTTACAATGGTTTATTTGCAAAAAAGAAGTAAATTTTAAAAAATATATGAACATGAAAAAAGGCTTTATGGAAATATTTTATAACAACCTTTACGGAAATTTTATCAGGAAAATTTTAATTGAAAACATCAATCTAATAATAAATCATTTGTAATCTAACATCAAATCATTGTAATCTTTATATTGGAAAAAATGTATAAATTTACTTACCAAAGGTTTCAGTTGCCTGACTCGACGATAAACTCAAACAAGTGTGTACCACAGTGGCTAATGGTATTGGCCTACTACAGTGAGTGCATCTGGCTTCACATGCACTTAGAAGTAAGAATGAATCATCACGGCGATTGTCTACAGATGTCACGTGACTTTGTCGTCACAATCTATCGCTCTCTCCTGCAAATCACTTAATCAAAGCGTGTACAGTATATGATACACGGTGAAACTCTTTTGTTCATTTGATCGCTCGATGATATTAGTGTGACCAAAGGGTCCCCCCTTCGATGCCCTGTCAGGATGACACCACCGCGTCTCGGCGGACACGAAAGCCGCGTTAATTAGGTCACGCGAGCGGTCGCGTAACGGAGTGATCAGATTCGGGATGGAGGGAGAGACAGCGCGCCGGAAATGACTTACTCAAAGACGGGTTAATGTAACAACTGTTTAATGGGTAACGATAGGCCATACAACATTTCGGGTTAAAATGTGCCTGCTTTTAGATACATTTCTACAATTTGATAGATATTAGATATATTTGATACTAGCAGGTGGGCCCGGCGTTGCTCGGGCAAAAGTAACGATAATTAAGATAAAGATTATTACGTTACAGTCAACCTTACCCGTTTCCACAGAATGCAAGAATTGGGTCCCCTTGTTTCCAGACTAATTAGAGAATTTTTAGATGGTTCTAAAAATATGTTCGATTTCCCGCAAAAACGAAAGAACTGCATCTGCGCCTGTAAATCTTGCACATCGCTTTCTCTTAACAATACCATTGTTACTTAAAACTTCCATTGTTACTTAACACTTCCATTGTTACCTAACACCGCCATTGTTACTTAACACTTCCATTGTTACCTAACACCGCCATTGTTACTTAACACTTCCATTGTTGATGGAAGTGTTAAGCCTTAATCCTGTCTTTCTCCCCCCGGGAGGAATTTCGAAAAATCCCTTTTTAGTGTGCGTTTTCGTGACGTACCCTATCTATGTACCANGCTGGCTTGGTCTGGATCACGAAAGTTCTTCTAGGCACAATGAACAGTAACGGGAAAAATCCGACAGGGTACTGATTGAGCACAGAAATTGTCACTGACACACGGAAAATTTCGATGACTTTAATCCAAGAGTGAAGGGCGACGACTGCCTCACTTTGTTGATCTGTTCTAATGTTGTACTGTTGAAATCGAGATATTAGGTCGAAAGGTGATGAGAAAGCGTCGTTATTAGGCCTGAGAACTTAACAGATGTTTGGCTCTCAAGTGTAATATATTAATGATATAAATTCAATATACTGAAAGTCTGGATTCGGATCCTCACGTTAGTGACCTTTAGTAACGGTTGTGAACACAAACTCTTTACTAGGCATGGCCTACCTTATACTATAGGCCCGTTCATCTGGCTTGTCGTCTATTGTTAATAGCATTCGCGCTTAGTTTCCGATTTTCTCCGAACGGTCGAGCGTAGCATCGTATATTTTCAATAGAGAAACTAATGCGTTTATAAAATAAAGCAAAATATTTTTTAAATATAAATATAGTGAATTTCAATTCATTGTGATTATTATTACCGATATTATTGACAAAATTTTTTTCCGAATTTACTGAAGAACAAAAATATTTAAAATATTAAACGGTACTTTTGCCAATTCATTATATTATATATAATGAGTTATAATTGCCAAATAATATTTAAATTACAGTTTAATAAAGATTTTTAGTGTCCTTACAAAACTATTGAATTTTTAGAAGTAATGTTAAGTTTATAGAATTTATTTTTACGTAAAAAAAGTATTCTGCAAAGTTTTCTGAAGTCTGATATTATAACTACTTGACAAATCCTACAAACTTTGGTAAGGCAGAATGGACAGAGCGACTTACTTCAATACTCTACGAGGAAACTGATTAAACTAACAGCATATTGAAAGCATTCGGTGGGTGGCTGTCATGTCGCTCAGCGCCCACGGAATTGTTGGTAAAGGCTGCCTCGGGTTTGAAACTACAAACTATAGGGATTTCGGAAGTTCGTAGTTTAATAAAACCCGAGGCAGGCTTATAAAGTAAACCGTAAACGTTTGTAAATTAAACGGTTTCTTTAAGCGCTGTAAAAGTATGCCTGATGTTAAATCAAGTTTAGATTACTATCTTGTTCAGAAGTTTTAATTTTGTGTAACTTACAGATACCGTTTATTTTTCGTGAAATAAACATTGTAAATAAAAATGAGTTTATTAAAAGAAGATTGCGGCCTGAAATTTACTGCAAACCAAAATTTTCGCCATGACAGTATTATCGTCGCTCTCCCCCTATCTGCTTAGTATCCAGCGACTAGATATAAATTCTATTTAATTCTAAATCCACATTATTATTTCACATTTAATGACTTGTGCCATTTGTACTTTTAGTAAATATAAATAGTATATATATATATATATACAATAGGCAGGGCTGTAGAGTCGGTAGATTTTTACACGACTCCGACTCCGACCAGGGGCGGCAGTGCCGTCTTTAGGGCAAGGCCCCCAGGCCATACGGGGCCCTAATCCGAAAGTAATAAAGTTGCAAATAATAAATAGGTTAATTAAAATAAACCATTTATTAAAAATATCAAATACTTTATTTCTCCTATACGTA